TCGATTACTATCAACGATTTAGATACGTTGATAACAGTTAGGCTCAAATAATTTTTTCTTGAGTCTCGCTCTAATCGGATTCTCCTAAATAATTCTTTCTTTTTCAATCTGAATTATTTTAACCAATGATTTGTTTGAGCAATAATTCACAGAATAACCGACTATACTAGATCTGAAACTTTCAAACTTATAAGTCTGGTATCAAAGAGTGGGGCACTCATACAAGACATCCTTGGTGTCTCACATCTATGGATTAGATACACCACTGAAACTATTGAATAATTATCAACCATCCAATATTTAATGAGTGAATCAATTAATGAACTCATACTCAAATGAGCATCTAAATTATATCTTTAGTGTCCCCACACGAGCATGAGCAGGAGACCAACTACCTCCACCCCCTCTCCATTTAGCCTGGAGTTTTGAAAAGTATCGTCGTAACCATACCGTGTGAATTTATGTTAGAGATGAGGATGCTTGACCTCATTTACTATCTCATAGAGATCTGCATGGACTGTTCTTTTGCTACGCATGTGATGTCGCCCTCAAGATTTCATAATAACCCAAACCTCTAAATACTAAGCCCATAAAACCCTAACCCATAAACAAACTTTAAATTCTAAACCCGAAACACTAAACCCCTTCGTTCAATTTTTTTTCACTTTCGACTACAAATTTCACTTGTTTTTAATTCATCCAAACCCCAAACCCAAACACCAAACCCCTAATTCCTAAACCCTAAACCCTAAAATTATATTTAGATCAAGATCAATCGACGAAACATCATGGACGGCCAAAATCCATCTCAAATGAACTATCATAACTAATCGACAGTCCCATCTCTAATAAGATGAACGGGTATGATCAAAATCAAGCTGGAAGCGTTCCCCACTAACCGGGCTTTCGTTCGGCCCATTCAATCGGTATCTCAAGCCCTAACTCGTTGAGAGCCCATCTACATAAGACGCGCGCTTCAATTAGAATTCTCCAGAACGTCTCTCGATCCCCAAAACACCCCGTGGGCGGGAAGGCCTAATGCTCGTCTTATTTCGCCTTAACCCTACTGCCTCGACCTCCTTCGCAACCCTAAGAAGGATGCCTCCTTCCTTGCCGAGATGGCCGACTTCCTCCGAAGCGCCCCCGCCGTCGCCTTGCAACCCTCTCTCGAGTACGCTCTCTCCTCACATCCCCGACAGCTTGTCACCCTTTTGACTCAGAGCGCCCTTGTCTCTAGTGTTTTGACTTTTGCGTCCAAGAACTTGGGTCGGAGTTTGATGTTCTTCTTGATGGTTTATTTGATCGGGTTGTTTTCTATTGTTTGCCCAGTTATGCCTTGTCCCTTTTTCTCCTTTTGCTGGATGCGGCGGTGCAGTGTAGAGAAGAGAAGAAGGCTGACTCGGATGGGGGTTTTGGGAGTGGCGGTGCCCCATTAGGTGGGCATGCGATCGGTGATTCTGCGGCAGAAGGGATGCTAATGTTCCTACAAGAACTTTGAAAGAAATGCCATCTTGGGTCTGTGAATCAGGTCTGTGCTTCTTGATGATTGTTGGTTTTTTACCTTTTAGTTTATCTTGATGATAGGACCGGCCACAATCTGTAAATTGATTGGAAATATCACGAGGTTAAATATGACACGTAGACATGACGGGGGATTGCTGGCTAAACCATGAAACAATCTTTCTATATTTTCTAAACCATGAAACATTATGAGTTTTGCATGTATGTGTGTGTGTATTGTATATTATGAGTTGTGTGTGTGTGTGTAGTGTGTTATTATGAGTTATGTGTATGTGTGTGTGTATTGTGTATGTTTTATGTGTGTGTGTTGTTATGTGTGTATGTGTGTTGTGTATGTTGTGTTTGTGTGTTCTGTATAGTGTGTGTTGAGTTGTCTGTTGTGTATGTTATGTGTGTGTAGTGTGTATTGTTATGAGTTTTGAGTGTATGTGTGTATTGTATATGTTATGTGTGTGTTGTTTGTGTGCTGTGTGTGTTATGTGTGTAGTGTTTGTTGTTTGTGAGTGTGTAGTGTGTATATGTATGTACGTGTGTGTTTTTTATATATTATGTGTGTGTGTAGTGTATGTTATTTGTATCTGTGTTATGAGTTGTGTGTGTTGTGTATGTTACATGAGTTGTGTGTGTAGTAGTGTGTGTTGTTTGTGTGTTGTGAATGTCATGAGTTGTGTGTGTTGTGTATGTTATGTGTGTGTGTTGTGTATGTTTGTGCGTGTGTATAGTGTGTGTTGTTTGTGTGTGTGTGGTGTGTGTAAGTGGCGTGTGTATGTTTGTGTTTTGAATATGTTATGTGTGTGTAGTGTGTAGTGTGTGTTATTTGTGTATTGTTTATGTGTGTGTTATGCGTTATGTGTGTGTGTTTTGTATATTATATGTTGTGTGTGTGTTGTGTATGTGTATGTGTCTATGTTATGAGTTTTGTGTATGTTGTGTGTAGTGTTGTGTATGTTATGTGTGTGTATTGTGTATGTTATATGTTGTGTGTATTTTGTGTATTGTGTGTGTGTCTTTTTGTGTTGTGCGTTGTTTGTGTTGTGTGATATTTTTGTGTGTTATTTAGTGTATGTTATGTGTGTTGTGTATATGTTGTTATGGTTGTGTGTGTGTTGTTTGTGTGTATGTTATGAGTTGTGTGTGTATATGTTGTTATGAGTTGTGTGTATATGTTATGTGTGTGTGGTGTGTGTGTAGTTATTGTTTGTGTGTGTATTGTGTT